CCCCCCCCCCCAAAAAAAAAATCCCCAACAGGTCTGCACCGGATTTGGGCTGTACTCGGCAAGCGCAGTACAGCCCCCAACTCAGATTTGAAAAAAAATCAGTGGATGGTTGTTTTCTGACTGGTCGGCAGACAGCCCACCTGTCATGGTCGGCTGCAAAACGGTCGGGGGTCGGCAGCTATGCACCCCTGTTCCACTCCTTGTTGACATGCAAGCAACCAACAGTCCACTCTCCAGCAGCTAAAGCCCTTTACCTTCTTCTTCTTTTGTTGCAGTCTTTGGCTCTTGTAGCTTGTTCCTCGCACCTGCCACCATCTCCTTCAGGGCGGCAATTGTCAATCCCCACCTGTCCCAGGTTACACCCCATGAGCACGGACTTAGGGCCTTGCTCCGCCGCTCACCCACCGTGCCAAATGAGAACGAATCTTCCCATAATTTTTGGAAAGATGCATCGCTATAATTCTTGTCTTTTGTGTATGTGGCGAGTGCTGAAGCGAGGCCCTTCAATCACCATTACATCCGAGCCTCTTTTTGCTGAGGCGAATCCTCCCTGCTTTGACGAAAGACCAGCGGGAGGCTTTTCTTTCTTTTGGCTTGGCATCACCAGCCATTTTGGTCTCGCGGCCTCGAGCCTCCGAACTTTCCGGAACGACTCTCTTTCCAATTCTCAAATTTGCCTCTGGGCGATGTACTGGCGATGGGTAAACGATCATGATCTCCGGTCATCCTGGTGTTACAGCGGTTTGCCCTGGACAGCATGACACTTCTGAAAGGGAAGACGCCAATCGGCATCAGTCGCTGGGACACGAGAATGGGACCAACCTATAGGGTCGTGCCTGCTCTGACAGTATGGCATATTTCCTACCTGCTGTTTTGAAGGATGCTCTTGGCTTTCCACAATTTTCCAGACACTCTTGTTCCTTTCCCCAGCCTCTAAACGTCAGGGGGGCTGACGAGGGAGGGGAGGGGGGCTGACGAGGGAGGGGAGGGGGGCTGGCGAGGGAGGGAAGGGGGATTGCACATATTGTTCATCAGGCCATGTGCACTGTGCAAGTTGGGGTAATTATCAATCTGACTGGGGGGAATGGGTGTTGGGGGGTGTTTACGATAATGAGGAGGATTGTGAACCTTAAAGCACTAGTACCTTTGCCGCCCGGTTTTGACAAGTTTTAGCCTAGTCCCAAATTTTTAGGAGGCCGGGCCCGACAATGGCTGCCATTGATAAATCTGATCGGCAGCCGTCGTTTTGTTTCGGGCTCCTGAAAGGTCGGAGGCCCACTTTTTCCGAACCGACAAAGGGACTAGTGCTTTAATGGGGGTTTATTTGTGAACCTTGACTGACAGTAATCAGGGGGTGATTTACTTCACCAAGTTCATGTTTGAATGCTCGAGACACTTCTGCCAGTGAAGCCTTGATAAGGGCGATTGTGAACCTGAACAGGGGGGGTGTTTGATATGTCACGAGAGTCGCCGGGCCTGGACTGCCCGGCCAGGTGACCCGGGCAAACTTGCATGGGGGTGACCGGCCCGGGGTACCCGGGCGATACCGAAAAGGGGGTCAATCTAGGACGTTTTTTCGGGCGGCACCCAAGTTGTGCCCGGAAACACAACCGGGTGACCGGCCGGGCATGACCCCACGGCAGGGTCCTGGACAGCCCCAATGCAAAAAAAAAGAAGAATCCAAAAAAATCTGGGGAAAAAATATGTTGTGTTGAATTGCAATACAAACAACTTTTGGCTGAGGATCACATCAGAATTCCTCACGGAACTGAAGTTAAAAAAAAAAGAAAATAACTGAATCACACCAAAGCACCCCCCTTTAAAGTTTAAAGTTTAAACCCCTTTAGCCCCTTCAAAAATGATTTATACCCCCCTTGCCCCCCCCTTCAAAGCCAACACTTGAAAAAAGAAAAGAGCCCGGATGTGGGATTCACTGCGAGAGCACAGAAACCCCTCACCGCCATTTTTTTTTTTTTAATTGTTTTTTTCCATGCGCGGGTGTCCTGGGCGTCAGACCCCCCCAGGCATCATCCCCGGGTGACCGGCCGGTCATGAAAATCTTCCTAGGTGTCAATTGTTTTTTTTTTTCTTTTTTTTTTTTGCAGTGGGGCAATTTTGCCCCCACTGAGATGTGCCCAAATCCTACCTTATCGTTGAATTTGGCGATACCTCACCAAAGGGTGTCTATGGGGTATAAGTGGGGTTCGAAAGGGCTGGAAAGGGGCTTAAAGGGGGCTAAAGGGGTATGATGATATAATTTAGTATTTTAGTTTTTTTTTTTTTTTCTGGATTCCATAGCGAATTTTGTGGTCACCCTTAGGCAAAAGATGTTTGGTTTCCAATTCTTCATGCCCGTGACATGATTTTTTTTTTTTAGTTGACCCTAGGCTACCAGAGTTTCCCGGGTCCACTTGCCCGGCCGGGT